CTGCTGAGGTCCATATTTACCATTCACAGGATAGAATCTGCCTTGCACCAGAAAATAAAGGACCTTGAACTTGACTCAGCTGAGGCTTGACCAGTGCCAGACTTTTTTTCTCCTTCTGTCAGGACCGGGTGTCCCTCTCTTTCTGCGTGACATCGACTGAGGGGAGAGTTAGAAAGTGAGCTGATGGTGGCGGCTAGCAATAGGGCATACAGGAAATGGCTCTTGTTTCCTTATTGCTTTACACAGGATGTGGGTGTGTAAACTGCTGACATGAGATGCCCGGAGAGCCGGAGGGCTTGGCAAAAGTCCAGGAGGTAGTGGAGGAGGATGAAGATGGGGACAGAGAGAGAGGGAAGGGGGGAGAGACTGAGTTGCTTCAGAGAATGTTCATGTTAGTTTTGTTGAGAGAGGAAACCAGATCTAAGTGTATGGGCGCATGTTCTGTTAGTACCAACCTCACGGATGGTGAGAAGAGTTGCTGATTCATGTTCATTGGCTGATTCATTGTCTTCATTAGAAGAAACACCCTTGGATTCATTATGGCTTCTGCTACTTGTCTTCCTTTTAGCAGCCAGCTAGTGTGCATTTCTAGACACATGGGCTTAACTAACATGGACCATATTGTTTTATAGCCTCCTAAACAATGACGTAATGTACAGACTATTGAGGCAGGGAAACAAGAAAATAACTTCCATAGGGCTCTTTTTTGAGACTGGATTCCTAGGCAGGGGGTATATTAAAGCAATTTGTCAGCCTGTTTGCCCAGAGGGGCAGGGAAAAATGAGTTGGAAACAGCTAATGCCTCAAATGTGAGAAATGCCTTGAAAATGCTATGCCATGTCTTTTGCATGAAAATAGATTAAGAAGTGTGTTTTTATGGCACATCCTTCTTACCAGCACCCTCTCCTCCTCTTCTTTCTTTTCTCTGGGATTCAGGGATGGGAGCCGATCCCAGCCGGCCGCCGTGTCGGAAGGCCAAAGACTTGAGGAAGGAGCGACATCTTCAGAAAGAGCAGATGAGACAAGATGCTGATGGGGTCTCTTCCACTGTCTCTCCGCCCCCACCCACTCCCATGCAGACCAACCAATCCAAATCCTTCGAAGATTTCATTACTGATTCGTTGCCTGACAACTCCAGTCATTGCCTTGAGGTGAGCAAAAATATAGGTAGTAGGAACTTTTTCTTTTTATGTGATTGGGAATGAGCATTAGCATATTGTGATTTCTCCAGCTATTATTAAAAATGTTTTTGGTTTAGCTTTCTGTCTCAATAATCTGTGGATTCGGTTAGTTTGAAAATTTGGTTGTATGGAGCCCACTCAACTAGCCCCAGTGACTTCACCATGTGTTTATGTGTGTGTAGAGGATAGCTGGCCAGGACGGAGTGGAAAAGTTGCCTGTTTCCACTTCGAATTCAACCACATGACAGGCACACCACACAAACAGGGTCACATTAACCCTGCTGATGACATTAAAACCACCAGTTTCCAGCTCAGGTGGAACACTATGAGAAGACATGGAAATGAACTTTTGGCAGGGAACAGAAAGATGCTTGGCAAAGGCCTCAAACTGAGGTAATACGTCATTCTTGGTCTTGACCAAGATTTGAGCCAGATGCGGTAATGAATCAGGTCGCGTCTGTCTCTAGCCTTTATACCCTATGAGATTAGTCCAGTTAAGACCTACTCCCAGTCAGCTCTTTTCAATGGGATTAATTTGTCTGCACTTATCATTCACTTTCACTAAGTGGGCATGAACATAAGGTTATCTTTTGCCCATGTCTAACTAGGCCTATGTGTTTTACGAGTTGAAGTGCTTAGTGATGCCTCATCCATTTTTCTGTTAAAGGATGTGGCTAGGCTGCATCAGGTTTGTTGCTGAAGGTCAGTTTAGGTCTGATGCTGAATCTTTGGCTTCTGTACTGCTGACTTGGCTGCAGGCTTACAGACATTTTTACACCAGGACCCTAATGTTTGCATTAGAGCAATTAAATGCAGTCCAGCTCTGTTTCATCATCAGCACCTTTTGAAAATATCACACTACTTTGACTATACACCACCAGGGGGCAGTGTGAGAATGCGATTTAGAGCCCTTCAGGCACCTCAGGAAAGTGTGGAACTGCCCCAATTATTCACTGCAAGAGTGTTGTTTTCACAATTTTCTTATATATTCATAGTATTTTTCTTTAAAATCTGTTGCTACCATGCATGGTTTGGAAATTAGCCGTCTAATCTGTTTTTATAATAGTGTAGTGTACGGTCTTGAAAATCACTGGTCAGAGCAATGCATCTTTCAGTTAGCGCTTTGATAAGCTATGACCTGTCATTTTAATTGAAGCTTAGTGGTTAAGTATGACACACTTGTTACTAAATTTCAAGTTTGTTATGAGAATTGTTAAAATTTAATTTCCACACTGTCCACTATCTGTTGCAATGTTGGTTCACCAAAATGATTACAAAAAATATCAGCAGATATAAAACATTAAAAAGACTGAAGCTGAGCACTGGCCCTTAATGTACGAAGCCCAGTGCCTCTGTTTGGCTAAAGGATGTAGATGCCAAGTGCTATTATGTTCTTCTATCTCCTACATTCATTGGATTTACTATGGCAAAGCCTCCATGGCCAACAAAATCTTCAAAACAAAGATGTGGTTAATTAAATGGAGCTGGAGGATGAAAAAGTTGAATTCTTCTTCAATTTGTGTGACATTCACCTGATCTTCCTTGTTAAGTATGATTCACAGCACCTGCTGTCAAAACGGACATTTAAATGCATATTTATTTTATTTTATTTTTATTTAAACTTTTTTCCAGAGACATATCACATTAATTACCATCATTGTAAATGTGCCAGTGTTAGCCAGGAGGCTAATTTTCAGCCTCTTTCAAAAATAGGCCAGGTGTTAAACATGGGGATACAAACATAATCAGTGTATCGACATATACCTTTAGAAGACTTAAAAAAAAAATCTGTTTTGAATAAGAATATTACATGAATAATAAAAAGAATGTCTGGCTGAGGTACACTGAATGTGAACCTAACTTGATTGTTTACATGGAAGCTCCATGGATCACAATTGTGTGGAACTCCTGTTTATGCAGACTTGGAAGAAAACCCTTTGCACGCTCTAGTTTCTGTTGCACATCAGCATTAGGAATAAAATGTCCTTCAGATGACATGGTGAAGCCACTGGAAACGGACTCAAACAAAAACGACAGTAAACAGGCTAGTGGTTATTTATGCATTCTGAGAACTACTACGACTGAACACTGACACTGTTGAAAACAAGCAACTTCATTCATGATGAAATAAGAGAAATGAACAAAACCTCCAAACTGGAAGGTTTTATTTCTTTTGCAGTGTTCTTGTAACTTGTTTTAAAATCCTAATTTCACTCAGCTGTTGGAGGGTGTGTTTATGTCAGTCTCGCTCTCTCTTCTTTCACAGTTCTTTCACACTTTTCCTTTCTTGGATTTGTGAGATGTTCCTTTTTTGGGTATTTTATTCACCGCTTATGTTATTTTCAGTACTTTTTTTTCATTTTGATGTTAACCCTCATCTGCCCCTTTTTTTTTTTTTTTTTTTTTTTTTTTTTTTTTTTTTTTTTTTTTTTTTTTTTTTGAAGGTGAGGCTAGTGCGCTCCAGTCCCCCTAGCCCACAGTTCAAAGCCTCATTTGATGCCTCCTACCAGGTGTACAAACTCTACCAGATGGCTGTTCACAAGGACCCTCCTGACAAACCCTCCGAGAGCCAGGTCAGAGAGTGGGGGGCATAGGTCATACTCATCTAGGGGTACCCAGGTGGGAGGGAGAGGGTCGACATGTTTGGGTACCTACACTGGCATCTTGTTCTAGTCTCTTATACATTTAGTTTTAAGTCATATAATGAACAATATATTTTTTTATTGTTGTAGTATTTCTTTATTGCTAGTGCAGAAATTATTCCTATTTTAAACAACTGCAGTAAAGGTAATTAGTAGTAATTAATTCTCATTTAATAATTGGATGACAATTCATCATTAGTAGGTTTGGAATGGGTGTGCATATATATATATTTGACTTTTTTTCATCTCAGTTCACATTTCAGAGATTTAAATCAAAATGAATTAAAAAAAAAGTCAAGACTGTAGATATAAAACTGAAAGTGAGATTGCAATCAAAAAATTATTTCTGCTTAAACTTTGGAACAGTAAGCATCCGGGGGAAAAAACCCCAAATTTCTGTATGACTGAAAAAAGTGAATTAGCCTAACACCTTTGTATTAAAGAAAGTGTGTGTGTACAAGAGCGTGACTCAAAGGGAGAGGAAATGGAGGGGAAAGTGTTTCCATACGCCATGGTTGAGAGCAGTGTTTCTCCAGGTGCCTGAGCTGGCCCTTGCTCTGCCAGCCGGGTCATAAGTCTCGAGCTCTTTCATTTTTTGGGGGGTGGGGGGTCAGTTTGTCAGCTGAACCCTGCTGACCATCACACATTTATATCATCTGTGCCCCTCAATACTCTGCCCTTAGTATAGTTATGTCTGAACAGAAATTATTTCAATTTAGGATAATGTGGTAGCGAGGAGTAATTAATTTTCTTCGTGCATGCAGTGTGTTAAATCTTGTTTTTCTCCTTGAGAGGAATCTGGACTGTTAGAAGTCTGTGTGTGTCCAGCTGAAATGATCCTTTCAGAGTTTTCTGCTGTTGTGATCCTCACGTGTACCGACACTGTATTGAATCGTGAATTCCCAGTCCTCTTCATGCAATCTGTGGTAGCCTGGAAGTGCACTAGCCTCATCCTCAAGTTGCCCCACATCTTATTATTGTATAAACACACTTTCAGTCTCCTAAAAACCCACTGTGGTCTTGATTTCATGTGTGCTGTTTGTACAGCCTGCCTCAAAGACTAGGAGGCTGATGTGAATCCTAAGATATCAAAACACCTGTATAACACTGTTGTATAAAACCTCTCTTGTTCATTCCAGCACTGTTTATTCTAGCAAAGCATCCATCTTTCCTCTTTATTTTTTTTTAAATATTGGTTTTCTAACTGCTCACCCACCTTGTATTAAGTATCAAGTCATTTAAAACATCCCTTCACCCTATTGCTCCTTCCCCTCCATGGCCTGTGCTTGAAGGTGAGGCTAGTGCCAGTCAACTTTGAGGACCCGCAATTCACAGCATCCTATCAGCAGTCGGTGGCACTGTACGCCCGCTACCAGATGGCCATTCATGGTGATGACCCCGGCGCATGTAGTGAGAGTGAGGTACTGCATGGTTATTATTCTGCACATACTGTACTGTAGGGAAGTACTGTACACACTTCTTGCATATAAGAATTTGCTGACTTCTCTTTTTGATTTTTAGTGTTGTTTTAATCTAAAACCTTTTTGATTTTGGACTGTTCAGGCAAAACAGGCTGTTTCAAGATGTCACCCTGGGCTCTGGGAGATTGTAGTAGGCATTTTAGCACCATTTTTGGCATTGTATAAACAGAATTATTTATTGATTAGCCATTAAAACACTGTCAAGTAAATTGGTAAAAAAAAAGCAAGTGTCCAAAGTTTAAAATGAATTTGTTGGCATTGCAGTGTTGTTGTAGGGGTAACTCATGGTGAGATTTTAATCTCCATTAACAATTCTTAACACTGCTGCCATATAAGCTGTATGCACATCGATAGGAGACTTGTAGTATTCAATAACCCTGATAAATAATTACAGTCATGCAAGTTTTTATTGTGCAGTTAATCATTAACTTTGTACATGTTTAAGGTGTAAACCTTTAGCTCTGTGGAATAGAGCAGGAGGTCACTGGTTTTGAAGTGAATGAGAAGTATTATCCAGTAATGAATGAGAACCATAAGTATAAAAATGAATTTATGATACACATAAATTACACACACACACCTCTGTTTCTCCACTTTATATGTAAATAAAAGAAAATAAAGTCGATGCAGCATCCAGGACTGCTGAACATTCTCACTAACCTGAGAAGGCCTTTTGTCTCTCAGGGGTTGAAAAACAACCGCCTCCTCCACCCTCCTGCCAGCAGGTCTCAGTAAATTACTGAATTCTCCAGCTTGTAAAAATAAGGTAATTAATAAATAATAGAAGCTGCCAAATTGGGCAGACTGTGGCAGATTCTTTCCTAGTGCCATAACACTAGCTCTGTTAATAGAGTGTGTCTGTATAACTTCAGCTTCAAGTTTGTACTGGGATCGAATGGGCTGAACTAGAGGAATAGCATCTAAAGAAAATAAATGAATAAAAATGCAAAGGTGCGGAGCTGTGTAATGAACTCTGCAGTCTGTTGGGTTCTAGATAGGCAAGCTCAACTTTTTATTGATGGACTTTCCAAGTTGAATACTGACTGAATGTACAGTAGTGGAGTGTAAGCCCAGAGTGAGTTAAGGTTGATAATTGCTCTTAAAGGTGAGCACATTTTTTGTCATTCACCTTCATCTTTATCTTAGGGAGTGATATAGAAAAATGATTGGGCCCTAGATTGTGACAACAGTATGGCTTAATTTTGACAGGCATCATTAATATGATGACACGTACAGTGCATTCATCTGTTTTTGAGCTTTGTGGAGATGTTCTAGAGGTGGACCATTAAACCAAGGCCATACAGGACTGCCATGCTGTGCGTATCAGCCACTCCACATCGGGTTTTGCATGGTATCACATTAATACTAAACCTGGAGATGCCATATTGTCTTCTTAATGGTTTGTCTCATCCCACTGCAGCTAATTTATACAAGACCAGTACTAATGGTGCCCACTCATACAACAAATCAAACTTTATGATATTCGCTTTAGTTAGACTCACTGCTGTTACACAACTGCTGAGCCCACAGTACTGTACACTGCTGATTTTATTTTGTTTGCTCTTCCAGCTCCTGGTTAATTTTATGGTACTCAGAAGAGAACAGGCTTATAGCAAACAAAAAGAAATGGGAAATGCACATTTTGGCGCCGTGCTGTTCTAGACCTGCTGCTGCTTCCTACTGTAGGAAGTTGATTCCTGAAGTGTTTGCGGATGCATTTATTAATCCATTAAAGTATTACCTAGGGACAGAATCTGGAATACTGTCAGCCTGGCCCTGAGCCAGTTGATAGGAGAGATTGCATGTGTGAGGAAGCGCAAGTCGAATTATCCAGTCAAAACTGTGCTATCATTGGACAGTGTAATGTCCTAGCGGGGAATGACTTTGTTTATTTTAGAACGTATGCATTTCCTGTCGTACCATGACTGGAAGGTCACCAGACATTATTCCTTCCTCATCCAATCAGGGTTTCCTGACAGACTTGCGGCACATACGTGCAATTATTTAGACATTTGCACATACACGCATACAGACACACACACTCTCACTTACACTTATTGGTCTTAACTGTTGTGCTGAGCCGTGACTTTAAGTTCCTGCACATGTGGCATTCATTTTCGGGAAAATAAATTCACTTAAATCTGTATGTACTGTTCTTCATGGCCTGGATCTTACCCAAGATATGTGGAACAAAAATACAGAAAGGATGTGGAAAAAGCTGAGGAATGGAAATAAAATATATCAGTATATGGAAGAAATGAGGAAAATTGGCTCTGAATATCTTAGTTATTTTGAACATGCTCATTCACAATAATGAGAAATTCTTTAAACAGCATTATCAGTGTAGATCCACTTCCTCTTATATCGGAGCTAAAAAGTGTTCTGTTGATTTTTCCACAGACTCTTGCATTGCAGCTACGTTCCTGGCTGCTTTAGGGTCTATGAAATAAACGAAGATCTAGTCAGCTGAAACTTGGCGAAGAAAAACGATAACCGCATTTGGGTTGTTTTTATCATTTTTAATGTGAGAGAGCGACTTCAGGTACCGTGTCACTCTAAGTACAGCAATTTGAACAAGGTGAGAGCTCAATAACGAGAGGTCTAAGTAGCAGTTAGGCCTAAGCAGATGTGTCTGTTTATGTGCACTGTATCTGTGTAAGGGAAGACAACTTGTGTGTTTGGGATGGCTGTTGGCTGTCCTAATCTTACACAGATGAGTGTTTACTATAGTAAAGACAGATTTAAAGAGGGAGTGATGGACTCCATGTGCTGGTGAACACAACCTTCCAGAATGTACTGTGGACATGGCTTTGTTTCCAGGCATACGTGTTTTTGTACTAGAGACGGAGAGAGAGGAAGTTGAGGTTGTATTCCTGTGTTTGTTCCCTTACTGTCGTTATGCCTGAGTGATTGTAACTGTCTTATCTCTAGCAGAATGGGTGTGATTGTGAATGAGTTTCTTTGTCTGTGTGTGTGTCAGTGTCAGGCTTGAAGGGCCATGTAGGGTCAACCCTGCCAGGATCCAGGGTTGGCCTCACCCAGCTAAGCAAGGTTGACACAGCAGTGGAAGGCTGCAGCGCTGTCCCTCTTGATATAATTGTCCATGAGTTCCCCTCATTGAGTGTCTGTTTAGCAACTATAGAGGGGAGTTACTCAGAGCTTATTCAAGTATACATTAGCATACATTAACGGGCTCGAAAGTGTAAGAGTTCATACACATGTCGACTACTTGTCCAATCAAATGATACAGATTTTTGCTACAGAGTCAACAGGAGATTCTGCATTCCACACAGAGCAGCTGCTATTGCAGCTTGGCCTCTGTAAATGATGTCATCCAATAACTGCAGCTGTTTTTCTGTTGGTAAACCATTTAATTATTTTGTGAGTGTTAATCAAAAGTAAAATTTTACAGTATTATACGTAGGGAGGCTTTGCTGTGGGAGGCATGTTGACTGGCAGAGCGGTGGAAAGTTTTCTTTACTCCACATGGCTGCACAGGTGCGGAACTTGATAAGCATGTGTTTACATGGGCAAAGATCATTGTAGATATAGTCACTAAAATTTCCACCTTGTAAAATGAGCAGGACAATGTAAAGTTCAAGTGCCTTTTTAGTACAGCTGTAGGTTGAGAAGCATTGTACATACTTGTTCTGTGTCTGAGCAGTTCTGCATTGCCATCCCCTCTTCCTGCCCTCTCCTCTCCATCCTGTTGTGCTGTTGAGATTAGGAGAAAGGCAGCGTGCTGCATCTTGTAGTACTCAGCACTGCAGGGAGCCCAGTTTGTGAGACTTTGTGTGCATTGTTTCAATGCATGAATTCTTTAGATTATTTCTTGCTCGATACTCATACTTTATAGATTTGATTATTCCCTCTTTAAATCTGTCTTTATTATTTTTATAACTAGTACTTAATGGATTTTGTCATTTTTATGATTTAATTAATGGACGAGTCAGAAGGTAGTGAAAACTCTTTGGGTGTGCATCACCCTTTAGCTCATCTCTGCAAAAACAACTCCACATTTGTGTCACCAACACACGCATGAACCATGACAGACAAATGGAGAAACACTCACTCTTTTGGGTGAGCTCAGGCTACTGGCAGGATTTTGAGTTGCACCTAAGCCAGAACTGCCTCACCCAGTGAACCATCAGCAGTCATCACTGCTGCTAGCTGCACTATTGTGCACAGACACACTCAACCATGATGGACATGAAATCATTAGTGTCAGAGAAGCCAGTTAGCCTATTGATTTCCATTGTCTTTGGTTTATTCTTACAGTGTTTGCATAAGTAATGCAGAGAAGTCAGGTGAGACTGATATATATACACAGTACTGATTTGCTAATATACCAGCCTTTCAACAACAAGCAGTCACTAATTTATTAATTATTTGTCGTCACTGACAGTTTGATTTAACTTAATAACTTTTACTGTGTTTGGATATGAAGCCTGTTTGGCCTCCTATTACCCCACCTTGAAAATGTTATTAGGATGTGTTTCAGTGGAGATTTTTAGTTTCTAGTGAGCTGTGTTCCACCCTGACAAGATTCCAAGAAACAAAGAACTCTGAGTTAGTAGAGTTAAAGTATCAGCTATCAGTAGTTATTGTGTGATTATATTGCCATAAATACCAAGGGCAAGCTGATGTCAGGGTTAGAGTGATGGAAAAGAAGAACAAAGTAACATAATATCAATGGCAGCCACTGGTTATTGAGTCTCACTATGTAACTTCCATTTCATCAGCCTTTTTACATAATTTATATCTCCTCTTTGTTTATTTTCTGGATCCTTTATATAATACTTAGAATAATGTAATACTTTATAATAATTTGCTGTTCTAGACCCCTGTTCTGTGCACCAGACAATGGACCCAAAATTGAAAATCTCTGGGAATCAGGGTCACAGCTTTCTTGTGAAATATGAACTTGAGACTGCGGTGTGTGAGCATGAGGGTGATAGAGACAGAGTAAACCAAAAGCTGTCCATCACTGCTCCTCTGTGGCCATGCTGGTTTTCATTATGGCTTTGGCTCTAAAAATGGAAGCATACTACTTTTGTCCTACAGGTCAGCTCGTCTGTAAACACACTGCTCTCAACCCTGGCAATAAAAAGGTAGTAGAGGAAGTAGTAGAGAAAATGAAAAAAAAAAAAGATAAAATATTTCCACAGACATAAAGCCCCCCAGTAATTGATATCTGATGTGTGTTAAGAGATAGGCCTCTCTGAACTGTGAGCCTCATTTGATAGGCTAAATGTATTCATTTGTGCAAATGCATTCTTTTTTATGCTCCTTTGTGAAGGAGGTCTGCTTTTGATAGGCGACACCTGAGTGAGGAGAAAAAAGAGGAATAAGCTATATTGGACGACAGTGGAGACATGTATGGTTTTCATTTGTCTTTTCAAAAGAGCTGGCAATCCAGATAACTGTTTTTCTCTTCGTTCCACCTACAGTTCCGGAGATTTCTCTGTGATTCACCACTAGAGGTATGTATTTCCTTTGTCTTGTTGACAGTTTAATAAAACTCTCCTTTAAAATGTTTCTATTCACCCATATGCGTTACCTGTATTGATTCATCCTAGTTAAGAAAATGTCATCCTAGTGAAATTACTTTCAGAAACATGATGGAAATGTACATAGAGGTGCAGTATTTGTTTGTTTATCAGACATACTCAAAAGGGGATAGTTGTAAACTGGGTCCCTTCATCCAGCACATACCCAACCACCCATCCTTGCCCTCTCTCCTCAGGAGCCCTTCAGCTGGTGGGGGTTAAGGGATTCAGGAAGGGGTTTTGTTTCATATTGGAGGAGTTTTAATTTAGTCCTGTTTAAGTGAAAGCGGTTGTTGAGGGAGAAAAACGGTGAAATGTGTTGTCCAGATTGTGTTGTGACTGTGCTGAACACAAGGTCTTCAGACAAGTCCTTTCCTCTTGCCTTGTCAGAATGGGACATACCACTGTTCTTCACTTTGTGTGGTGTGGTACAGATTACAGACTGATTGAGCAGCTTCATGAGCATCGGTTTGGGACCTAACAAATGGTCGTTGGCTTAGTTAGCCAAAAGAACTAATAATGTAGGCTCCATGGAAAGTTTAATGTCAGCTTCAGGTGCATTAATTAATGCAACCTTGCTGGTAATCAATTTATTGATAAAATCTTTAGATGTAATATATGCAATATGAAGGATGTTGTTAGCATCTGCAATAGGCTTCACAGTTAAACTGCTGTATTCTCTGTGGCCACCGAGCGAGGAGTAGGTGTAGCCAAGCATCACTGAGCACTTACCAGGTCTGTTGAGCTGCAGCCTCCAGAAACACAAGTGGACCTGTTTGGACTCAGGACAATTACACCAGCAATTAGACCCAGGATGGGCACTTATAACAGCCACTTTAATAGGATCAAGGTCCAGGGCACACACACAAACTGACTGACACAGACACACAAACACAGTCACTCTGTGCTGCCCTATAAACCCCCCCCAGCCAGGTGCACTTACACAGGTCTGCAAAGATACAGAACATGCAGATCTTCCTGGCTTCATGATTAAGGGGTCATCTCCATTGTTTGGCATTCCCCTTGCCCAACTAGTTTTCATTTCTTTCTCTTATCTGCCTTCCCAGTTCTCTCTCCAAATGCTTTCCATTTCAGCGTTGTTACGCGTGGCTGTGTGTGCTACCTCTGCACATTGGCCTCCATCTGTCTTCAATCAGAGCGCTATTAAAATACAACACAGACACTAACCACATGAACCTGCATACTGTGTGGTTCATCAACTCACATTTAAGCCTGCATTTATACAAATGTATGCAAACAGCATACTTACAAATTCAGCTGCAAATAATTAGGACTCAGCTTCTCTGACTTGTTTGTTTGCTGTGTTTCATTTCACCAAAATTGCAGAGGATTTGTGCTGCATCTCTGAGGTAATTAACCTCAGCTGTCACTAATCCCTCTGTTTTTTAAATACTTTTATGCACATAAATAGACGTGTAAACACATTTGTGCTGCCTGGTAAATAATGGCACATGAGTGCCTGCAAACATAAGCAGTGGTCCCACAGGTGGTTGTCACTTCAGTTCACCTTGGTGGAGATCTCAGAGGGGTTTATGCATTCATTCTATTTATTTTTCTTTACAGCCTCTTAATGTGTCTATCCAAGGGGCAAATACTCATTAACAGAGGTGTTGGCCAATTAATCACAGTTTTTTGTCTTTCATTCTCTCTCTCTCTCTCTCTCTCTCTCTCTCTCTCTCTCTCTGTCTCCCACAACACACCCTAAGAAGGAGAATTTTCATTATGTAAAGAAAAACACATGCATATCAGCAGGGAATGCACCAGCTGACATACCATAGTGAACACACAGACCCCACTTTACATGCCTTGGCTGTAAGCCAGAAAAGTCTATCAGCTGTATCTGGAGTACAACAACATAAGAGGCCTCTAAATGAGTTAAGTAGAGAAGTAAATTTCACTCTTGTTCTTTACAGAATGAGAGAAACTAGTATTTTTTCATAGTGACCATAAGTGCTCATGATGTGACCTATGCTACATCTGCAGCATGCTTGCAGGACTTGCATCTGATTGGGGTTGTGTGTGTGGATGCCAGTTTGTGAGAGTGAAAGGAGAGCTACTTTACAACGTGTTATACATTTCACACATTAGACAAATAGGGAGACAGCTAAAGTAATTTGTAAGTAGTACTGCTGCCCTGCTGTTGTTTACATCCACTGACTATTCAAGTTCACAGTAATGGGACAGATGTGAGGACATAGTGACCTCTGACTATCAAAATCATTTCATCCTTGAGTCTAAGTGGACCTTTGTGCCAAATTTGGAGAAATCCCTTCAAGGCGGTCCTGAGATATTGTGTTAACAAGAATGGGACAAACATATTGCAGTCGCATGGCCTTAACATTTTGAACATATTCTTCAGGCTTTCTCTTTATTGTAAAGTAAAATAAGTAAGTAAATTTTTATTTATATAGCACTTTTCACAGACAGAATCACAAAGTGCTTTACAAAGTCAAAAGATAAGACAAAACAAAATAGTAAAACAATAAACATAAATAATATCCATAACACCTAAAAGCTACTCAAATAGCACAAAACAATTCATAAAGATGAATAAACCCAATCAATTAAAAAACTGTCTAAATAAATGCGTCTTCAGCTGTTTTTTAAAACCATCAACAGATTCGGACATACATAAGTCAAGGGCAGGGCATTCCACAGTCTTGGAGCTACAGCCTGAAAAGACAGGTCCCTCCGAGATTTAAAGCGAGTTTTGGGGACCACCTAAAGGGTCTGATTTAAAGAACGAAGAGTACGTTTGGGGGAATATGGGGTCAACAGATCAATAATGTACTGAGGGACCTGCCCATGTAGTGCTATAAATGTCAGCACTAAAATTTTAAAATCAATTCTAGCCTTGACTGGTAACCAGTGAAGTGAATACAAAGCCGGAGTGATATGAGCTGTTCTAGAGGTTCCTGTCAGGAGCCTCGCAGCAGCATTCTGGACAATCTGAAGTCGATTTAAAGTAGACTTATTACAACAAATAAAAAGAGAGTTGCAATAATCAATACACGAAGAAATAAAAGCTTGAACAATCATTTCAAGATCCGTCTTAGATAAAATCTTCCTTAATTTAGAGATATTTCTCAAATGATAAAAGCAGTTCCTGACTGTCTTATATGACAATCAAGAGACATCGCCTGGTCCAACACAACACCAAGGCTTCTAAGGCTCAACTGGACGGAGGAGCCCAGCAAACCAAGGTGTTGTTTAATTACGGCAAACTTGTTAACAGGTGCAACAATAAGAGTTTCAGTCTTGTTAGAATTTATATGAAGATAATTATTGTTAAGCCAGTTCTTGATGGAAGACAAGCACTCTAATAATATCGCTAAAAAATGAAACTCTGAATCATTAAAAGAACAGTAAATTTGCAGATCATCTGCATAAAGAATGAAGATAATTATTGTTAAGCCAGTTCTTGATGGAAGACAAGCACTCTAATAATATCGCTAAAAAATGAAACTCTGAATCATTAAAAGAACAGTAAATTTGCAGATCATCTGCATAAAGATGATAAGACACATTCTTAAAACGCTGGACAATCTGACCCAGTGGATATATATACAGTATATAATAAAAACAAAAGAGGACCCAAGACCGACCCCTGTGGGACTCCACAGGACAGAGTAGCCACTCCAGACATGACATCATTAATAGTCACATTAAGAGTTCGATCACTATGATAGGAAGAGAACCACTTAAGGACAGACCCAGAAAACCCCAACTCAGACTGAAGCCGATTTATCAAAATTCCATGGTCCACAGTGTCAAAGGCAGATGTCAAGTCTAATAAAACTAGGACAGTATAACGACCAGAGTCTGCAGCCATCATTATGTCATTTGAGACTTTAAGTAAAGGAGTCTCAGTAGAATGCATCTTATGAAACCCTGACTGAAATTTGTCAAATAGTTTATTCTGTTCCATAAAAGCGATCAGCTGTCCTGCTACCACTTTTTCCAAGATTTTTGACATAAAAGGAAGTTTTGATATTGGCCTGTAGTTTCTTGGCTCTGAATGTTCAAGAGTCGGCTTTTTAAGAGTCTGGAGATGTTATCAGTAATATTACATCATGTAATGTTTTTTAGTACTATACAATCCTGATCTCATTCACCAAGATATTTTATTTTATTTAGGTACAACTTGTACCTGACAATTTTACATGATGAGTTGTTGTGATTCAGTAAAAATAAACCCATGTGTCTCTAAGCAGGTTGAGACAAGCATGCAGCATACCACCTCCCCACTTTGTCAAGATAAGCACATAGCTCATATGGGTTTTTTTTTTCCCCCCATATGAGAGTGATTTGGGGCTGGGGTAGTTTGAAATGTTCCAGAGAATGTTTAGATCGTTGTCCCAGTGGCAAGGACACAACCCAACCATTAGTCTGTCTTCTGAGGTGACACACAGGTCATTCAGTCAAGATTGGCCTTCAGCATGTTATGAACTTATAAACAAATATTCAATCTCAGACTCGTCTTGCACTGGCATTCACATTCTTATAATTATACTCATGCATGTATAGTCCTGATGGTGTAAGAAAATCCCACTCTCTTAAACACACCGCCACCTCATGCTCTTTCCTTTTACTTACACCTTCTAAATGACCCAGAGGAGCCCTGGCTGAAGTCTCCAGTGTTTCTGGAGGGAAATAGTGCCAAGAAGTAACAGGCTACCTGCCTACACAGACAAACAGTTCCCCCAACTTCAGACCTCCCCCCCCCCAAATGTGGTGCTTGTCACCCTTCAACACCCCCAGTTGCCCTCTAAGTAACCGTTCATTTACAGCTCATATGTCTTTTAATGTGGAGCAGCATTTAGATGATTTAATCATCCCTTGCCACTCAACTACCCACATGCACATGCAAAAATATAAGTGGCTCCTGCTATGCATTGTGTCAGACAGGTAATGGGATCTGCCTGAGCCTTAGGGGTATAACTTTATTTTCACAACAGATCTACTTGAGAAAACCTTACATGATGTTATGGAGGAATGTGGGCCACAGTCACCTCACTGGTGATGTTCAGCCCTCTGGGGTCGTAGACCTGCAGGGAGTGTGTGTGTGTGTGTTTGTATGTACCTTGTTTTTGTGGGCCCAGCGGTGCACTGGATTAGCGGGCTAGTGCTCTCAGGATTGTGGTAACTAGCAGTGTCTGCATTACTTAACTGGGTCCAGATGAATGTTTGTGAAGGAGAAGGATCCTGTTACTCGTGTGCTGAAGTAAGACACCCCCAAACATAAACCAATACCCTAGCTTAATATGACTTTTAACCCTAACCCCAAGCCTCCCCTCTTAAGCCTCTGTGATAAAAGCAGTCAGGTGCTAGAAAAACCCAGCAGGCGAATCTCTGTGAGAAATGCAATGTGTGTCAAACACTTAACTGTTTTATTAATGGGGTAGACTCAAGCATGCGGGTATGCATGCACACCCATATTCTTATGGGCCACAGCAGACACTGACATGCAGAAGAAAGACTGGCGAGACTCCAGCACCATCTGATGAAATGGTAGGTTCTTTTATTAAAAAGTCCTCTCCTGGAGTGTTTTTTGTTTGGCCACATCCTCTAACTCCCAGCTCCACTCTGCATTTGCTCTGCTCTAACTCCACATTTGGGAGCTATTAGCAGGCTGAATGTGAGGCTACTGTACACCCCTACACATAATGTGTGAGGCCTGGCAGGGAAAAGGTAAAAATATATATAGGCATCATACAGGCGTGTGTGTATATAAGACAGAGAAGGTAGATCTAGATTACTCTTGAAAGTAACAGTCCTGTTAAATAATAATGTTCTCTTTCCACTGTGATTTATATATTTTACATACAATAAAAGTACATGAGAGTGCTACTATTATGACCGGTGGCCGCCTTCTTTTACGGTTTTTCTCTCTTTGCCTCTCCTCAGGCGGAATATTCTCCAGATGGTCCTGAGGTGGGCTACGGTTCCTTCCACCAGCAATACTGGCTGGACGGGCGCATTGTGGCGGTGGGGGTGATCGATATCCTGCCCACCTGTGTGTCATCTGTCTATCTGTACTACCACCCAGACTTTGCCTCACTGTCTCTGGGCTCCTACTCTGCTCTCAGGTTGGTCTCCAGGCCTTAGATGAGCCACCTTATCCTTTATTTGTTGTCTTGAAAGCCCTCTTATGATTATCTAAGCATATTCAATGATGGTGGAGATGATCGATAACCCCTATGGCATATCATGCTCATGCTTCATAACATCAGGGCCATGTTTTTTTTAATTTCTTTCTGTCACAGAGAATGCTGCAGTTTGCTCTGATTGCTAATAAAAGAATTCCCCTTGCAGTTTTTGCAGCAGATTTCCTGTCAAATGTGACCCAGATTGTGATGTAGAGGGCCGCAGAGCCTTAGCAATATCTCAGTTATTCAAAGTAATTGTGCTATACATAAATTCAGTAGGATAATAAATTGTTAATTGCAACATGTAGCTCGTTTTTGAAAGAGGAGTCACATTTTTTACTCGCTCCATGCTTTTTTTTTGCCTAATTCCTTTGTTCTTGCTTCTGTTCTTCCCCCCTTTTCATTCCCTCATATTTGCCCTCCTCTTAACCTGCTCTCTCCCAGACTCTCGATCCTTTCAGCTCCTCCCAAATTTCATTTTTTGTGGAACAGTATCTTATAAGTACCATAATACTGTAGGTTAGGAAGAATACCTCTTTCTTCACACTTGATTGGTTAAGGCAGTGCTCTGTTTGTGGTTTGGCTGACGACAGTTCTCTCTGCCAAGATGAAATAAGAGAACGTGCACACACTGCAGCCGCACATATCTGCCATTTCCTGTAAAATGTAACCCAATAATGTGAGAAGAGCTTTTTAGAATATTTCTGCACAGATGTGAGAGACTGGGTGATCTCAGCTTCAAAGTTGGTGTGTACAGGTGTTACTATGTGAACTGTGATTGTTCCTTTATGTGTGGATCATGCACTAATTCAGACCACCAGTTGGAAAAGACGGCTTCTGCTCATAGAGAGGGAACACCCTGGTCATCATAAGCACACAGTTCCCCATCACTTATTATTTTAAGTCTGACTCCAAGACTAACACAGAGTGCTCAGTGTGTGGAGGAGACCTTGGCGAAGGGAGCCAGCAGGACTGAAATCCTCCCGCTTCTTTAGAGACACCAGAGCCCAAGGCCTTTGATCAGGTCTGGACACTCCCTAGTCTGTTTTGCCTGGCTGACTTTTTCCACACACACATATACTTTAAAACATTCATTACATTAGATGATCATTATGCCTAGCTGGATTGGAGCGCGAACTGTTCAACCATATACAAGTGCACTCCTTAAAGCAACAGCATAAAAAAATCATGGAAGAGTTGCATGTAAAATATATAGCGGGACTTTTTTCCTAGTATTAAAAATTCACAATATGCTTTGAGTTTGGAATACAAGTAGGTTACATTTGAGGTAAAAAAAAAAAAAAAAAAGTATGTTATAGTAGGCATCATTATGTATTTACATGTGATTCAGCAGTAGAAACAGTAGAGGGGGATGTTGAGAAATTTCTTACATTAGTGCAGCTCATTCTGCACAGAGGCCCTGAAGACAGGAGGAGGAGGAGGAGGAGAATGAAAGAGGCACAGTAGGAAACACAGCTGGTGTTCAACCTGCATCACTATGTTAGATACCTCAAGAGATCTGCATTAAAAAAAATATATATATCCTACATTGCAACTTATAAAAAATATTTTTTTTTAAATATTTTTTTAGTTTTCTGTGGTGATGCGGAATGCATGTTAAGTTCAAATGTGCAAACAAAACACCTGCACCTGTGTTACACCTGCAAAATGCAGCGAATGCAAAACAGCATTTTTTTTTTAAAGCCAAAACAGGCTGTAGTCTGTTCACATGGCTGGTTCACTGCGGCATACTCTTATTATAGATTGAACCCACAGGCTTTTGTTTTGTTTGTTTAATGTGCTATTGAATTCATTACAATCCCAGTTTTTAAAGGATCCTGATGGAGCAGTTTTGTCAGAGTAAGCAAACATGGGATTGGTTAATGAATCAGGCTTTACATAACCTGTACTGATCCATCAAAAAAGAAAAGCCTGGAGACTGACTCAAGAAATACTTAGTCTTTTATACAATATAGTGTACATACATGTACTGTGTGATTTCAGGTTCATTTTCTCAGTTAAATATGCTTCTTGTCACTCGTAGCTCCCTTTGTATTTTATATCTGACTACTCAACACTGTACTTCTAGTGTTTTGATATGAAATGTTTCCACATGCATGCAGGGCTGCAGTAAGCACCTCAAGGTATGCACGGTTATAGGCCCTTTGTGTCTGTGTGTGTGTGTGTGTGTGTGTATGCACAAAAGTATAAGGAAAGCTTGTGTAGGAGCAGAGGGCTTGATAATTGGCTTGTGCTGGAGTGTCAGATGGCTGAAGAGGGAATAATGGCAGACTCAAGCTGCTGCCGTGGGGTTGGAGGTGGGGGTGTGAAGGCCTCAAGTGAAGGGGGGGGCACAAGACTTTTTGTGAATGGGCCCCTCGCCTCTCTTGACCCCCCTCCTCCCCCAATTCAGGCCTGCCAGGCCCTTTTGTGGTGAGGGGATGGGAACCCAGGAACCTGGCAGCAAGCGGGTGACCTTCTAGCACCTTGCTCTAGCTGCCCCTCTTCTCCCTCCCTTTCTCTTTCTTGACCCTTCTCTTTTATATTCTCCTCCTGCTCCCTCTTGCCCTGTTGCTTACCCTCCCTGGCATGGCCTGCTTTGTCCCATGTCTTATTTTTCAGTGCATCTATTTTATTTTAAGGCCTCTTTCTCTCTCCCTATAAGAAAGGGAATTCTCCCCCTTCATTTAAGCGGGTGAAGCACAGAGGGGTTGAAGGAAGAGTGAAACAAAAAAGGGAGAAGAAAGAGGAGCTGGAATTTAGTTGTGGAATAGTGAAGGAAACGACGAGGGAAAGGGGAAAATAGGCTTTTAGTAAAAGGATGCAATTAAGGAAGAAACTATTGGTAAAAAAAAATAAAGCAGGAAAGACATTTACTGTATTTGAAGAAGCTGTATAAATCTTCTGAATTCTAAATCTTTATTTTACATGCTCTCTCTCTCTCTTTTATCACAAGCATCTTTTCTGCTCTAAGGCTCAATAGCAATAGAGAGAAGGCAGTTGTTTTTGTCTAATGAAATGAGACCAAGAAAGGCTGCCTTTTTGAATGTGGGTGTTTACTTCCTCAGCTTGGGCACAGTTCTAGTCAGTACTGCTAGTGCAAATTTTATTTCTTAATGCCCTCATTTAAATGCTGTTATACGAAATTAAAACACATTTCAAGTTAGTAGGTGTACACCTAGATGCTATCATTTTCTAAATTACCCATTACTCTGTCTGGCTTGTTGTTTTCAGTGTGAAGACCACCTCTAAATTCTGAAATTCAATTGTCATGGTTTAACTGGCCTTCTGATGCAGCATACAGTCTTAACTGCATGTGTGTGCATTTGCAAACTACACAGCTTTAAATCTCATAATCTCTCATTTTATTTTAAAACTAAAGGCTACATAGACTATACACTGCTCAAAAATTAAGGGAACACTTAAATCACAGACGTATCTTGATGAACGAATTATTCAAGTTGAAAAACTGAAATCACAGGCTCATCCAAGTTGTGTGAATTTCATCACAGCAACTCATAATGTGACTCAGAAGTGTGTGTAGCCCCTGCGTGCCTGTGTGTACTTCAGATAACATCTGTGCATGCTCCTGATGAGTCGGCAGATGGTGTCCTGGGGGGTCTCCTCACAGACCTGGATCAGGGCATCAGTGAGCTCCTGGACAGTCTGTGGTGGTACTTGGCGGCGTTGGATGCACCGATACGTAGTGTCCCATAGCTACTAAATTGGATTTAGGTCAGGGGAACATGAGGGCCAGTCAATGGTACCAATGCCTTGGTCATCCAGGAGCTGCCGACACACTCTGGCCACATGAGGCCAGGCATTGTCCTGCACCAGGAGGAACCCAGGGCCCACAGCACCAGCATAAGGTCTGACAATCGCTCTGAGGATTGAATCCTGGTACCTCACAGTAGTCAGGGAACCAAGGGCTATGACATGGAGGTCTGTGTGGCTCTCCAGGGATATGCCTCCCCAGACCATCTCTGATCCACCCCCACCATGTTTGATGATGTTACAGGTAGCATAACATTCACCACAGCGTCTCCAGACTCTTTCACGTCTGTCACATGTGCTCAGTATGAACCTCTGCTCTGATCTGTGAAGATAATGGGGTGTCAACGGTGGACCTGCTAATTCTGGTGTCATATATTGTAAGATATACAACACAAAACACACAAACACAAAACTTGAGAAGAATCAGTCAGGAAGTATCAGGAGAGAGCATTTGTCTGTGGCCACCAAATGCAAAACCATTCCCTTTTTTGGGGGTTGTCTTGCTTTTGCCTCTCCATTGCACCTGCTGTAACTTTCATTTTCACCAAAGTAAAGTAAACTGATTCACAATCACTTGTGCTTCCTAAATGGACAGATTGATATCCCTGAAGTTTAAATGACTTGGTGTTATACTGTGATGATCAAGTGTTCCCCTAATTTCTTTGACCAGTGTATTTCATTTAATTGATGCTGAACTGACTACAGAGCAACATCTCCACATAGGATTGGTTGAACATGATAAGAAATAACACACCAAGCTGCAAGTGTATGTACCTTTCTTTACTTCTGAAAAGGTGTGTTTATGTGTTTCCCACCACAGGGAGATTGCTTTCACCAGACAACTGCAGAAACAGTCCCCCAAGCTGTCCTACTACTACCTGGGCTTTTACATACACTCCTGTTCCAAGATGCGATATAAGGTACTGTGTACATTGTTTAGCCAAATGCTAAAAAGCTTAAATCACCTTAATCCTTTTGAAACTTTAAACTTGCCTTTACATTTGTTGTCTGGGCCCTTAGATAACCTGATAGCAACACTGCTCAGTGTGTGTTTGTCAAATCTGTTTCAGTGGCTCAGTCTGAGCCTTTCTTTCACAACATACAGTATCTCTGAACATTAGAGATGGCCAAGATATCTGTGCTGTACTGTACCATTATGTATGTGGAGGGCAGGCAGCAAAGCATGCATATGCATTTTATTCTAAATTGAAAAGTAATTCCAAACAACTCAGAAGTTAGGAGGGATAAAAACAAGGAGAAATTGACATAGGTTTGGTGGAGTGAATCTCACTATAAACAGCGTGAGAGGAGAAAAAAGATGGAGCGGAGGTAGCAGCAAGGAAGAGAGTATGCGGCTGCTGAAGACATTAAAGGTTGACAGAGAGGTCACAATGGTGACAGCAGCTGTAACTCAGCAGCAAAAGATGTGTGGCACCCACATACACATACAGAAGTGCAGTTGCTGCACTGCAGAAACATTTACACAAATGCACAATGCATATGCATGTACGTACAAGCCGTTCCTCACAAGCATGCTCACATTCACACCAAACACCACTTACAGTTCTATAGCTTCAGATGGATGGTAAAAGAAAACAGCTTTTCCAAGTCCATTAATTTGGCCAAGATTTACCATTCACACCCTCTTTCTCGCATTCATCTCCTAATTCCTCTGTTTCTCTGTCATTTCATTGAGATGTTCCCAGAGCTTGGGAGACTGATGTCTTGTTGGGGATTATGGCAGAGTGCCATATCTTTTTATCCATTTATATCTTGTTTTGGGGTTGGCATGGTGCTTCGCCCATTTTCTCAGTTTGGGAGTCTGCGTGTGGGTTACACACGAGTGTGTCTGCTCTGTTTATATGTGTCTGTGCTGAATCTTGATCACGCTGTTTTTCTGAGACTGCTGTTACCACAGCACCTAACCCCCCTCTGCACTGGCATTTTACTTCCCCCAACCCCCCATATCTGTTCTTGTGTGTTGCCATTGCAGCTTCTTGTTCACAGCCTCCCCATCTCTTCCTATTTTACCCCTGGGGGAGAAACACAGAACAAGGGTGAGAAGGTTGCCCAGTTCCCACCTTTGGGCTCTCACACTCCCACAAACACACACCCACGCTCAGACACTTTGTCAACACATGCACAGTGTCTCTCTCCATTGTCTGATTTGTATATGAGCCCCAGTAGTTCATTAATGCACAGACATATTGTAGATTGTTTACGTTGCTAAAATGGGGGATCCCATAACTTTACTGTTCAGTGTTGGCGGTTTACTGGTTTCTAGATCTCAGTCTTGCTGCTTGCTGGACCAAAACAGCACTTGAGCACTTGCTGGATGCCACTTAGAAACCCTTCATCACCACTCCCTCTCACCATACTCTCTTTTCTACTTGTCAGGGAACTCTCTGTACCAATAATGTTGATACATTTAAAAACAGTTTTCCCCTCTGGTTTGACCCAAGGTGGTGCTTTGCACCCTGTATACCTTATGCAGGTGTTGTCACTGATGTATTTGACTATAAAATAACGATTTCTTTAGGGTGGTCAGTAGGGCAGCCAGTGGATTTAAACCTTGGATAACAGGTAGTCCTTATGACTCTTAGTCAAATCGGCACACTTTTCAAATTGGTCTGTCAGTGCCATAAATACCGTCATCTTTACCAGATGATCACAACAAGGAACTTGTTTATCCACAACTGTTAAAAACAGAGCACACAAGAAGACATTTGTTTCATCATTTTAATTTTTAGAGAAAGGTCTTTTTTTGTGTGCATGGCAAACTTTCCACTCGAGAACCGTGATTCAAATGTAACGACTACATGCTAATGTTGACACAGCTTCAATTTTACTGGAAGCTTAAAAGGCCTTGTTTAACAAGGTATGCTGACAGAGATATTAGAAACTAAAATCTAACACCTGTTCCTCCTTTGTGTAATTTCACACAGTTGTTCATACAGTACTGTCATTCCCTGAGGAGCAATAGAATTGCATTGTTTATGTAACTGACACCAGTGTCAATGTGAAAGTCTTTATGGTGGCTCTGTATTGTGTTCATAGACATACTGGAGAGATTTTAAAACTAGCAGTAAGGTAAGACTTTTATTAGCCTTCACTTGAGCTTTTCTTTTGTGTTAAGGATTTGGCTGCGTAAGGATACAGTCTGAGTAAACTGACTCTCATCTGTGTTTCCATTTTAGAGTATTCTTGAGTTTGGAGTTGGCAGTGAAATTATTTCTGCCAGGTCACATCTCTGCATGCCCTGGGGAACAGCTTTATGTGTGATGGGTTGAAAACTTCTTAACAGTGCCAAACCCTGGACAGGGTCCTGTAGGGCAGCCTTAAAGGGCCCTGGAAGACTTGGAAGGCTGCCCGGCCAGTGTGAGACACTCTCCTTTGTTCTCAAAGCTGGGATGGAGCGTCCCACAGAGCCTTGCTGGTTTGGCTGGTGGGTTCAGGGTTAGATGTGACATCCTGCCTCTTGCTCCAGTCTCTGGCGTTTTAGCCCTCCTTAGCCCTCTGATTTGAGCTGTAGAGAGCAGAAGGTGAAGCTGTCGGAGCTTAAATGAGACCAAAGGTCTTGGCCCTTCTGCCACTCTTCTCTTTTCACATTGCCTCTCATGTGCAGCCAGAAGTCATCTGAATTAACCGCCCTGGTCAATTTAGACAGAGTAACTGAGACTAAAACTACATTTTGTGGCTTTTTGATATTAGCTTCAAATGTCATGCAACACATATTTATAGCTTGTTTGGAGGAATTATAGTCATTTGTGAGCAAACACTGAATCCGTCTAGTGACAGGAGTGCATTCGTAATTATTGGGGCTTCCGTAACAAAAAAGCCTGCAGAGTATAATTCTCTTACTATCAGGACATGATGCATTGTTTTAGATTTTCTTATAATTGCAGAGGTCGAGTTCAGCTCGGACATTATTTTTCACTATGCTTTATTCACTTTAAACTCTAATAACTTCACCACCCAGCTTCAGTAGTTTGCACAGTACACTTAAGAGTTTCATTAGCTTTCATTTAGTGCATTTCTACTTTGTCTCTTGGACGAAACAAAGAGCTAAAGATCCGTGCCACTTTGTAGTGAATTTCCATTTCTTTACAGAGGTGTGTGTGTGTGTGTGTGAGAGCACTTGTCTGTGTTAGTTACATTTAAGTACTGAGTAAGCATACTTTGATGAGAACAAATGAGGCTGTCACCAATCTGCAGTATCTGGTCTCAACAGATGAAGTACTTTTCCAGACTGGCATACATGCACACACACACACACACACACACAGACAGCAGAACCTGTTGTACCCACTTGGTGAGGGAGTTGAGAGAGAGTTACATGAAGTGGCTTTTAGTCTTGTTATTATTGTTCACAGTGAAAGAATGTCCCAGTCTGAGCCCAGGAAACCATTAAATTTTCCACAGGGAGGAAGAAAGAAGGAGTGAGCAAAATGAGTGAAAGGAAGAGGAGGAGGACAGATGGAGAGAAAAAAGAGTGACAAACTGTGTGCCAAATGAGAAAAGGAGGCAAGATGGAAAGGATTATTCGTTTCCTGGTGGTACTTCAGTAACTTTTAAGGGTCTTTTTGCAGCAGCTGCACCTCCGTTCCCTTTCAGTCCAACTCCTCCTTACCCACAAACAACAAACACTGACACAGAGCTGGTCAGGTCTCTAGTAACAGCCAACAGTTTTCCACATGGCCAAAGCTTTTGTGTCCAGTGGACCTGAAATGAATCCACCCAGGTGTCAGCCACTCTGTGTGTAAAAGTATGTTAGGATACTACCACTGAAAGAATCTGATGTTGGTTTAAGTCAGTTGCAGCTATGCTAAAGCTTTAATCGCTGGGTGCCTGCAGGCCTTTTTGTCACCTGCTGCATGAGCTTAGTTCTTATGACATCAGTTAGATGTGTCAAAGTGCCTCCCAACTCAGGCACGTACACTGTTTTTTTTCTCAGGGCACACCAGCACACACCTTTACAATATGTTTTTCATACACTTTGTTTTTTTTCTCACTAAATAAATTTCACTTTAATCACTTTTACCTTTTTTGCTTAAGAAATCTTTATAAATCGCTACAGTGCCATCAGTAACCATCAGAGTACATTTATCTAATAAACTCCCCCCTCACACCGTCTCTTTTCCAAGTAAGCAGTGGCAGGTTTTGACATGTAAAAAGGGCTCCAAGCCACAGCAGTCAAGACTCAGTGTGCATGTTATTTTCACTCAAGGGGCCCGTTTGACAGTATGGTATGTGTACGTGTGTGACCTCACATTCGCTGTGTCATTTGTTGTACATGTGGGCAGATTTAGGGTGACAGTGAGTGAGTTTGAGGCATCTAGAGGTGTGTGTTTCACACAGAAGGGGGGGCGGTTGTTGAATTTTGCTGTCTTGTACATTTCGTTTATGGCAGCAGCACAACAATAACTAAACCTTTTACATATACATGAAAGTAAAAATGAATGTCTGTTAATTAATGGTCCCCGATCAACTAATATTGATGATCTAGGTCCCATGATATTTGAAACCTCAGGTAAAGAACCTAGGTGTGCTCTTTGACGGCTCGTTAAAGCTGGATAAACAGATTAACTCAGTGATCAAAATGAGTTTCCTTCAGATGAGATTGTTGGCAAGGGTGAACATTATCTTTTAATGATTTTGGAAACACAGTACAGTACATACTTTTGTTAGCTCTAGACTTGATTACTGTAATGCTCTGTATGCACCTATTCTTCGTATTCCAGACTTCAGATAGGTGAGAATGCTGCAGCTCGTCTTCATATAGATACTCGTAAATATGAATGCATCACTGCAGGTTTGGCCTCACTTCATTGGCTCCCTGTTTGCCAAAGGATTGATTTTGCTGTTTGTTTGTAAAACTGTTCATGAGCTAGCACCATTGTACATCGCTGAGCTTCATCTT